CCTCCTCCTCCTCCTCCTCCTCCTCCTCCTCCTCCTCCTCCTCCTCCTCCTCCTCCTCCTCCTCCTCCTCTTCTTCTTCTTCTTCTTCTTCTTCTTCTTCTTCTTCTTCTTCTTCTCTTCATTCTCCTCCTCCTCTTCCTCCCTTTCCTCCTCCTCCTCTTCTTCCTCCTTTTTCCTTCTCCTCACCCTCCTCAAAGAACAGTAGTATTTCATTTTACTCTGGGTCCCTGGGCTACCTAGTCTCTGGTTCTTGATCACCCAAGCAGTGTTGGGTACAGGTTCCATCTTGTGGAGTGGGCCGCAAGTCACAGATATTCCTTGATTACTCCCATTACCTTAGCATATCTTGCAGGCAGGACACCATTATAAATTGAAGGTTTTGTGGCTGGGTTGGTGTTTATGTTTTTGCTTTGGTAACTTGCAGAGTACCTCTCTGTCTAAAGATAATAGAATGTGGTGGTTGGGGTTCTATGTAGGCACCAGCTCAACTTCTCCATGTGAATGAGTTGGGTAGGTGTTGTCCTCAGCAATGGGCCCTAGCCAGTTTGTAGACCTATAGTCGTGGCAGAAGCCTGGACTGTTTGGGGGATTCCCATGAGATTCCTTGGGCAAACAGTTTCAGTGGCTCTTTCTTCCCAGACAAAGATTCAGTTGCTTGGAGACTAAGTCCTGATCCTGTGTACTCCTGAACATGGGCCTGGGTCTTTGCTCTCTCTGTGGGGTGTGATAAGAAACAGAAATCAGGTGGAGGTCGCCTAGGTATGACAAAATGCATATCTGCCATTGGTCCTTGGTACACGCCTCTGGGTTATCCACGCGGTGGCACTTGGAGAAAGCATTGAAGCCTTGATTTATCTTTTTGTCTTTGTTGTTTCTAGTTGTTTTCACTCAAAGGCAAGAACATACTTTTATGCTTATGCCACAAAGGGACACATGAAAGGAACAATAGCACATTCTCCACATGTGAGCACACTTGAGGTCTCCTCTGGCGCCGAGATCTATGGGACATGGGCACAAAGCTCCCCCCTGCAGCTGATGGATAGCCTTCTGGGTGGAAGTCCCATGACTGGGGAGGGGCCCTGCTGATCCCCACGCAGTGGACCGTCCCCACCCTCTCATGAGACTCTGTCCCACCATTCCTAGGATGCCATAGACGTTACCAGCAGGGACAGCATGTGCACATTAAAGAAGTGAAGTGTTTGAAACCAGTGGCCCGGGTTTGAGTCCCAATGTGGGCACTTCTAAATTGCGTGGACTTGTGTAAGTTGCCCAGTTTCTGTGAGGGTTATTGCATCATTTAGCTTCCTCTCTGGAGCTCTGGCTCTCGCTGGACATCCAGGACTCAGGGAGACACAAGAATGCCACAGTCCTGTGTCCCTCCGTGGTGCCAAACTATGCCTCCCACTCCATGCTACACAACATGAATTTAATGTCTCCTAGTTTTGAAGACCGAAGTCCAAATTCAGTTTCATTGGGCTAACGCCGAAGTGTCCGCATAGCTAGATCTTTCTGAAGCCTTTGAGGGAGAGCCCACGCCCTGCCTTTTTACCCTTCATGGCCACCTATGTTCCTTTGCTTGTGGCTTGCTCTCCCGTCTGCAGAGTGTGTCAACCCGGTTTCAGCTTTCATCATCTCAGCTCCTTTGACTCGTGACTGCACCATTTCTATCCGGAGACCCACCCAGGATCATTCTCCATCTCAGGTCCTACATTCCAATTTCCACTGCAGGATAATGGCTACAGGTTCTGGGAATTAGAATGTGGATGCCTTTATGGGCTAGCCTGCCACACCATCCTGCACTTTTTTTTTTTTTTTTTTTTTTTTTTTGCCTGGAAGACAGGCTTGCTAGAAAGTCCTTCATTTGAGCTGGGAGGTGAATGCATGAATGAGTGAAGGCATGCTTTGGGTGGGGGCTTCAGGGCATTAGGAATCTCCCAGAGGGTATTCGGTGTAGAGGGCATAGTGTATGAGAAGGCACGGTGGCTTGTCCTGAGATAGTCAGCACAGGGTAAGGCAGGTAGAGTGTGATGGCTCAGCAGGAGATGCCTCGGGACAGAAGGTGGCAGGTCGTGTAGAGCCTTGCAGAACGCTTTTAATAGGCCTGCTTCTGTTTCAGAAGGAAATTAGGAGATAGCTAGTGCCGTTAACTTTGGAGTCATGGCTTGTGTTAGATTCCTGTGCCGCCACACTTGATAGAAAACCATAGAAAAGGCCCTAACCTCTCTTGAGACTTGGAAATAACTACTTCAAAAGGCACTTTTGAGAGACAGGCAGCCTTTGAGGTTTTCAAAGCACATACTCTAGTGCCCGGGATAATCCAAAGTCAGGAGGAATTTGTCACTAATGCTGTGGTTACTTTGGCAAATATGGAATTGCTGTAGGTGATTGACATGAAAGTTAGCGGGGACCTTTAGGTAACTGTGTGGTGGTGCAGTACCACATCAGACTGGCCTCTGCACACATGTCATGGGGAGATGTGGGGACTGTGGACGGGCCACTCTGGGTGTCGGCATAGCACTAGGGCTGCTGAGATACCGCGAGAGGGGAAGAGGCTGAGTCAAGTGGGTGTAATAAGGCCCTGGTGGCCTTGGGGTGCTTATGAGATGTCCTTGTTGTCCCCACCTGAAATGCTTCACAAGAATTATAGAAGCCATCTTAGGCCAGTGCCTGGACCTCATGTTCCTGGACCCTGTCCCTTCCATCACAGTGACCAGGTCCTCGGCCCCTGCTATGGAGCAGATGAGCTGGGCAGAGTCTGTGGGAAGAGACTTTCGATGGTGATGCAGCTTAGTTTTGCCTCATGGTATTAGTGGGATGCTCTGCATCCATGGACCCCTTGTCTCAGCTTTCCAGAACGTTCTGCTACCATGTTCCTTACAAACACCTGTCTAGTCACGGTGGCACAGGACTCAGAGAGTCTTTGGGTTTGAATGAAATAAAGTGGATTTCCTGAATGGGATGGTCATGGGGAGAGCGGCTGCTTAGGAGGGAGTATGAGGGAACTCTGGGTTCTGGAGCCACAGAGAAACTCAGAGTCCCACAACGCACAGGCACGGGGTCTGAGAACTGTGTGTCCTCCACAGTCTGTCCTCATAGCCTTCATACATCCTCAGGAGGAAGCCAGTTCAATGGAGGGCACCATGGTGAGACCATGATTGTTATTGTATTCATATCTTAGCCTGCAAAGGCAGTGGAGGAAAATATATTTCAATGCCATGTTCAAAAGAGCTGTCATTTTTGACATAGTAAATGAGTTTTTGGAGAATGATGTAAGAATGTTACTCTCAATGTGTTCTGTTTCCTTTAGTTCAGATTGATGCACGATGCAGGAAAATTAATCTAAGCCGAGCTTCTGCATGGGTGGAGGCTCTGAAAGCACGGGTGTACTCGTGCATGCGCACACACATGTGTGGGCACACACACACGTGGGGCCATACACACACACGGGGGCATATACACACACACAGGGGGGCATATACACACACACATACACACGGGGCCATACACACACACACACGTGGGGCCATACACACACACACACGGGGGCATATACACACACACACACGTGGGGCCATACACACACACACGGGGGCATACACACACACACACACGGGGCCATACACACACACACACACGTGGGGCCATACACACACACACACACACGGGGCCATACACACACACACGGGGGTATACACACACACACATACACACACGGGGCCACACACACACGTGGGGCCATACACACACACACACACACGTGGGGCCATACACACACACACGGGGGCATACACACACACACACACACACACACACACACATACACACACACAAATAGCAAATCAGAACCACAGGGCCAGTTTCCTTTATATACATTGGTTCATCCCGGGAGTCTCTTTTAAAAGGTCACACATGGTTTTACAAGGAGGCTGGGAGAGAAGAAACAAACAAACGTGACTATGAAACCATGAGTGATGAGGCAGACACACTGATAAGTCTCGCCCTTTGTCCCCAGTGTATCACAGTGACATCAAGCTTTGTTGGCCTGCATCCTGCTCAAGGCACCTCTTAGTATCAGGGCCAGGTGTCCTCACAGCCAGCAGACTGTTTATGTTCCTCTGCCATTCTCCTCTCCCACACTGACGGTTTCTTTCTCTTTTTCTCTTTTTTTTTTCTTCAGGAAAAATCAATTGGTGTCTGACAAGGCCGGTGATAAGCCAGATGCCCTGAGGCTAGGTAGGTGAGGCTCATCCCTCTGCTGTCTAGGTAGGTGAGGCTCAGCCCTCTGCTGTCTAGGAAGAGGCAGGACTCCAGCTAAGCTTGGTGAGAGACTCTTCGCCATCCTCCTCAGGGCCATGGTGCTCTGTTCCTTCAGTGTCTCCATCTACTGCCTGCCTTTCTCCTCTGGACAGTTCTGAAAAAGAGGAATTGGTTGAATAGGTGGATGTAGTCACACATGCTGGCAACCCCAGCACTCAAGAGACTTAAGACAGGAGAATTCCAAGTTGGAGGCCAGCCTGGGCCATATGCCAAGACCCTGTCTCCAAAACCAAGTCAAACCAACCAACCAACCAACCAACCAACCAACCAACCCACCAAAGAATAGATTTTTTCCCCCAAACCAAACCGGACCAGCCAACAGAAAGTAGGTTGCTTGTCTCTGAACCTGTATAGCACAGCTGCAGGCAGAGGGGCTCTTTGGGAACATTTAGGATGTTTCTGATAGACAGTTATTTCCAGACCAAGATATGAGATGCCCATGCGTGGGGTGGCGTGTCCACTTAAAAGGTTCAGAAACACGATTAAGGTATAAAATACATTCATAGGGAAGTGCGAGGGGCTCCGCCTCTGCGCACAGGCCTGTGCGGTTCACACAGTGGCTACATCTGTGTTGCTGCGCTCTGAGATCCAAACAGAGCGTATATTTCCACTTTAGCTTTGAAGCGATTTCTTTCTGTCTGTAATCCTCGAAGATGGAGTCTGGCAGAAACTCGAGTGGAGGATTGACAGGCAGGGTTGGACGTGAAAGGGGAACTTGAGTGCTCTTGAGTCTGCCCTCTTCCGGGAAGCCCGCCCCTGTACCTGCTGGCCTGCTTTTTGGTGCACAGACGCTATTCAGTCACTCTGCCGCCCTCTCCCTTTCAGACATTCCTTTTCAAGCTGTAGGAGGAGAGGTGCGCTCTTAGAAGTTCCTGGGCTGGGCGTGGAGCCGGCCATGAGCTTTCATCTTGCTGAAAGTCCAGGCCGGGGCTCTGATCATGGAGGCAGGCTTGTTTATGCTGCATGAGACACTTCAGAGGTCCCAGGGCCTCAGAAATCACCAGGACCCCCTGACGGGGATGATGTGCCCCTGCCCAGGAAGGGCAGCTTTCTGCCCATGGCTGTACAGAGGAAAGGAGAGTTGAGAAACCCTGGCATTCAAAGCCTCGGGCTTATGCAGCTCTTGAAGCTTTTCCGATGAAAGCAGCTCGTGTTCAGACACAAAGCAGCTCAGTTCCCAGCCATCAGAACCCCTTTTGGAAGGGAAGCTTTTGGCAGTTCCCAGAAGCCATTTGAAGTCCTGTCTGGAAGGAGGGGACGGACCCTCTGCTGCTGGCTCGGAAAAGGATTCAGACAAAGCGAAGGAAGTAAAGGATGAGGACAGAGTTAGGGAAGAGAAACACAGAAAGGGTTGGGGGACAAGGAATATGGGGTGCAGGAAAGAGGCATTGCATTCTGGGAGAGGGTCCGTGTTCCCTTCTATTTGCCTTGGGTCTTGTTTAGGAGCTTCATCTGCAGCCCCCTGCAGGCATAGGTGAGGCTTTGCTGAAGGCAGGCTGCTCAGTGGAGAACATGTTGTGTTCTTGAAGGGCAGAACTGGATGGCCCCAAAGAGAGAGGTGTCCTCCCATAGAAACGTGGGGCCTCGGGAGATACAGGAGGCTGGTTCTGTGTTGGGCCCTGGGAGGTCCATAACAGAGTGGCATTCGGACCAAACTTAGGAAGATGGGCCAGGTTTTGCCCAAGGGAGATATGGAAGGAACTTCGCAAGTAGAGGCAATGATGAGGGTGAGAGAGGCTATGGAGAGAGGAGCAGGGCCACAGGGGAGTGAGTGTCAGGACGGGGCTGGAGCAGCTGGCAGGGAGGATTCTGAAGGCTGTGCTAAGGTTTGGACTGAATCGCTTGGCGCCAGGAACTGCTGAAAGTCAGGGCTATGCATTGAGCTGTGTAGACTTGGCACAGGATGGATTTTAATGTCGGAATCCCCGGAAAGGGGCTTGTGAGGAGCCCTTAAGAAGGTCATGGCAGAGGGATAGAGCTCTTCTGTCCCTAGTCATCCCTCAGAGTTTCAAGACCTCACATGCCACCTTAATGGGCTGCTTCCTCTACCTCTCGTGACAGAGTCCATTGTCATGCTCTTTGCTCCTGAACCTTTGCCCAGATTCCTACTCCAGCACATTTCACCCCTGTGTTTGGGGCTCTGTCTCTCTTTCTCTGGGCTGGGATCTCTTGGAGAACAGAATGGTCCCTTCATCAGTTCTGGGCCTCTCTGTCCCATGTTGTCTCCAGTATATTAACTATGGGTATTTGATAGAGGATGCCCGGTGATACAGACCTGTAGTTAGATTTCTTGGAAGTCTAAGAAAAGAGGATTGCCACGAGTTCAAGGCCAGCCTGGATTACAAAGTGAGTTCAAAGCTAGAGTGGCTTAGTGAGCCCCTGTCTTATGATAAAAAGTGAAAAAGCAAGCAGGGAGAGCTTGGGCTCAGAGGCAGTACCAGATCACTTGTATAGCACACACGAGGCCCTGGGTTCAGTACTCAGCTCTGCAAATAAACTAGTGCTTTTGGATAAATAGAGAAGAACACTCTTTCTGGGACAATGGAGAGAGAAGGGACAAACATGAGATGTTTGAAAGATGGGAAAAATCCAGAGGCTGGAGCCACAGTGGGTGGAGAGGACTGAGGTTCCGTCTTGGGACACTAGGGTAGGGGTGAGGGGATCCTTATCAAACCCAAATTTTGGAGGACTGTTAAGTGATGGGGGTTCCCAGTGGGTACCCTGGGGCCAGTAGGAAGTACCAGCTTACTGGTAGAGATGCCACATCTGAGTAGTTCATACAGAAGAGAGCCTGATGGCCGTTTCCCTGTGAACTCAGCATCAGCACCATGCCTCTCCCTCTCTTTGGATCCCACTTGGAGGGAAATGTGGCTCTTTTTCTCTCTCTCCACCCACATGCCCCTCCTTAATCTTTTCTCTCCAAAGCGTATAAGAAATGGGAAAACCAACCCCTAGCTCCCGTTCAACCACACATTCATAGGCCGACCTTAAAAATAGCATTCTCAAACCACTGGCATTTGCAGGCAGTTTGGTGTCTTGGCCAGCATGTCATTCCTCAGTGCTTCATTTTCCCTTTGCATGATGGTCTTGCCACATCTGGGCCTGAGGCCTGCAGTGTGGTCCTGACCAACTCCCTGTGCTGGGCCAGGTCCTCCCTGCAGAATCCAAGGGAGGTTTCCGGCTCCACTGCCCACCGCCATCCCTTATGTCTCCCAAGTCCTGCTTCCTCGCTCCTACTCTGCATCCCAGACTCAGCTCATGGCTGAGCAGAGTATGCGGTTGTCCCCTCCACCCCCAGTGTACCAGACAGAGGTCTCCAGATGAGCTCAAGCTCTGTTCCTCTCATTTCTCAGGAATCAGGCCGACCCCAGGCATCGAAAGGAGCCCTTCAGGCCTGGTAGAGTCTCTTCGGTTGCTCTGCCTGGTAGACTGGGGCCTCTGGTGCCCACGGTGAGATAGGCCACATGTTTCTGGTCTCTGCTCTCCCCATGTATCTTACAATGTCTGCCTGTCAGCCCTCACTCACTATCTTAGGCATGAGCTGCATCTGTTCCTGTGGAGTCAGGGGCATTGCTTTGAATGTGTGTGTCTTTATTTGCTATCTCATCTGATTTCTTCCCTTTTCTACACAGTGCCATGTTTCTAAGATCTATTCACATTGCTGAAAACATCTGCTTTCTATTTCTGGTTATTTTTATAAGGCCTTGGTCACAGGGTAACGTTTCCAGAGATTTAAACTAAGAAAGGCCTCATTTAAATCTAGCTTCTTACTTAAAGTTCAGCCTTAAAAATTGCCTTTGCTGATTTCATGGCTATAGAGGATGGATTTTTGACATTTTGACCCTACTTGCCATCTCTCATCCCCCCTCTCTTCTGCTGAAACCCCTCTTACCAGCCCCCACTCCGATGTTCATGCCTTGTCTTCAGTGGATTAGTTTTCCTTGTGTGGTGGCTGGTTCAACCTGATGGGGAAGGAGGCTGCTGAGTAAGATAGATTCAATCAAGTGTGAAGTTGTCCTGAGATTCCCCTCTGCCCGCCCGCCACAGTGGCAGGCCCACCCTGGCAGTGTCTCTGTGGAGTATGTCCTTAGCCTTGCCAGCATGCTTACCTAGGGGTCCCTTCTGACTGGAGAACAAGAGGAGGCAGGGTACCAAATGGTTTACAGTCAGCCTGGTGTGTGTCCTGCCTCTGCCACTTTTTTCCTGTCCTACTTGGGACAGCCACAGCACTGCCTATGCCTCATGTCCTTGCTGTAAGTAGGGGCAGCAGGAATCAGGCTCTCAAAAGGCCAAGTTGGGGTTGGGCGGCACAACTCAAATGTCCAATGAATAGCACTGAGAATCGTAAGAATAATACTATTATTTTTGCAGAAATATGACTCCTTTAACGCCAGCCTCTTCTTCTCATGTGTCCTTGGGTGACAGACTTGTGCCTCCTGCTGACCTTTTATAAAGAGTATGTCAGAGCTGGGTCTGGCTGGGCCTGGCTCACTGGCTGTAGATTCTAAGGCCCTGGATTCACTCTCACTTGTGGCACATTGAGAGAGCGGTGACCAAGAGGAGGTCCCCTCTTTGCTTTCTTTCCTGGTGGGGGAGGCCTGGGGCCCCATGTGGAGGCTGTCGTTCAGGTTGAGATATTCTCAAATTTTCCCAAAGTTCTCAGTGTGGCGGCTGTATAAGTGATTTCCTGTTCCATTTCCCCTTGACCCACGCCATGGCCATGTTTTCTTCCAGAGGATGTTGAGGATGAACTCATAAAGGAAGACATTGTCCTGACCCCACCTCCATCATTGCTCAAGCTGCAAACTGTATCAAAGCCAATTGATCTCTCATTGGCAAAGGTAGGTGTCTGTGCAGAGGTGTAAGGAGTCCTCATTAAATATAACTGGACGCAAACTTCACAACTTTGATGTTTTTGGCTCCATGGTCCTTTTTCATTATAATATCTTGGACACTGTTGAAGTGGGAACTGGGATGTGATATATTAAGAAACCTGAACCGAGGCTCAGGAAGACTGTTTTAGTCCTAGCTGCTCTCCTGCCTCCATGAAACAGACTTGGGTCTTCTGGGTGGACCCCGTTGCCATCCACTTAGCCAAAGAGTAACAGTTCCAGGACTGTGGAAAGACTATGGGAAAACTGTCTTCTTCTGGATGCTGCAAGACCCTATTCTTCTATGGCCCAGAGCTGCCTCTCCTGCTGCAGTGGGACATTAGAGAAGTAGCTGTCTTGTGAGACTGACTCTGGGCCTACACTGACTTTATGCACCAGACTCCGGGCAGCTGCAGAGCTGGAAGGACAGGAAGGGCTGGAAGTTTGTCAGCATATCCAGGTTTGAACCTGTGGCCTTTTAGGTGGACCCATGACAGCAGGACACAGGTTCCGTGCCTTATGGCCTTCTTGGCAGAACTTCCTGTGCTCCTCAGCATCCTTAATTGCCAGGGTGGCTCACCCCTCCTTTGGCTAGAGGCTCCTACAGGATGAAGGGTTGTTCCTGTTGTTCCATACCAGCCTTTCAGCCAGGATCCATAGGGAAACCTAGAAGTGTTTAGAGATACAGCCAACTTCTTTCTTGTCCCACTTAACTGTGTGTTCTCGGCATATAGATCCTGATGTAAAAGATTTTTTCTAGAGGTTTTGTTTCCCCTTCCTTTCTGTTCCTCTCTGTTCCCTTTCCAGCTTTTGAAGTTACAGAGGGCTAGGCACATGGAAGGGGCCCTGAACCCAGGTACCATGCTCTAATCATCTATAGCCACAGGACCATGGGCCTCTGGACAAGCACATCCACTTGGTGCTGAGCCCTTAGAGGCCCCCAGAGACTGCCCAGTAAGAGCTGCCCCAAACCAATCTGAGAGAATGAGTTTCACAGATGGAAAAGGACTTGCTCAGGCTTCTGGGCTGTTAAACACACGGTGGTGACCTGGAACTATCAGTCTTTGACCAAGAGAATGTCAACAGGATCCACCCAGAAGACCCAAGTCTGTAGTTTTTAAGCGGTTGTAAGAGCATTCCAAGCACACTCATGGTTTCACTTGGCACAGAAGGGGGACCAAACCCTGATGGATGAATTCATTATCCAGTGTGCTGTTGGCCACATTTGGTGATGACAAGTAGACACATGTCTATGTCATGCAGTTCCTTGTTCTAAAGGAAGAGATGAAAGAATTGATCTTAGTGGATCCAGGTCCACAGGAGGAGCCTGACTTTGAGAGCAGACACCATAAATGGGCCAGAGACCAGCCTGCTGGTCCTAGAGCTCCTAGAGCCCTCTCAAGGCTTCAGAGTCCCCCACCCCTGGTTATGAAACTGTGACTGAAAGCCATAGACTATCCTTTTGGGTAGCAGAGGGTAGGGCCCATATCAGCATGAAGCATTGGTACTGTAAAGCAGACAGAGGTGTGTGGATTACTAGAAGATGGACCACAAACTGACTGTCCTCTGAGGTCTAGAGATGCTGGAGATCTGGAAGAATGGAGACATGGCCTTGGGAGGAGGTAGAAATCCCTCTGGGCAGTAGAGCTTTCCATAAGATTTAGAGGGAGATCACTTACAGGTCGCGTCCTAGAGGGAATTCATTCTCTACAGAAGGCGAGAGAACGTGCTTTTGACTTTGCTCAGGGCTCTGGTCTCCGTTGGACTACTCATACTTGCTGCTGTGATGTAGAAGCAGCTATAGACAAGGTGTAAACAATGCCCATTGTTGTTAATAAAACTTTATTTACAAAACCAAGTAGGTGCCAGATTTAGTTTATGGACTATAGTTTGCCAACTTTGTGCCAGAATTGTGGCTCTGAAACCTTGCTACAAAGTGGAATCACCTGGGTTAGTTTAAAATCTGATAATAGGCCTAAGACAGGAAGTCATGACTTTCATTCTTAGCACACTATAAAAACCAAACAAACCTATGGATGCTGGCTTCTCATCCTCAGGAATGTGGATTGAGTTGACCTGGCCCATGGCCTACGCATCAGGATTATTTTTAGTGCCCCTAGATCATTTTAATGTGAGGTCAGGCTGGAAAACTTACAGTCTTTCTGAGGGGGAATCTGAGGCCCCCCAGGATCCTTGGTGAAGCCAAAGTTTTGTATTTCAAGGTCTGTGTAAAGAAAATCTTGGCCCATGTTAGCATGGGCTGGTGTGGTTTACAGATGTTCCCGAGGTAAGGAGGCCCTTAAGGTCAGGTTTATCTTCCTCAAATATGAGAAGAATGGTCTTGCAAAATAGAGACCACTGCGAGAAAATGCACTTTCTAGAACCCACAACCAACTCCTGCAGGGCCTGTGCTGCAAGCCTTGTTATTGTTTATTTTACAAACATCCAGTGATTCGCTTTTCCCTCCCAGGAGATGAAGACCCTTCTGTTTGGCTCTACCTTTTGCTGCTTCAGTGAAGAGTGGAAACTTCAGAACTTTTCCTTCAGTGACACGGCCTCATTGAAATATGGCATTGTGCAGAAGAAGGCAGGTTGCTCTTGGGGTCCCCAGGGACTCTTCTGGGGTGTCCCACACAAAGTGGGAACACCATTCACATGGTGACCTCTGAGAGCATCAGTGGGATGACTCCGTATTTACCTGGTTGTCCCCTGGGGCAGGCAGTTAAGCTGCTAGAATGAGAAGGGCCACTGTGATCCTTGCTTCGAGAGCCTTCATAGGCCAAACCTTGGGAGGGGCTAGGGGATTTCACAGGTAGAGCTGTAGAGGGTTGCTTTCAGAACATGGAGGTAAGAGGAGAGTAGGGGGGCATGCTCAGGAAATGCCAAGGCATCATGTGTGCAGAACAGATGGAGGAGGAGCCTACAGCGGTTGTCGTGGAGCCAGAGGTAGTGGGGGAAGCTTTGCACCACCTCCGGACATATTAAACAGGATAGTCTCAAGAAAGGCCTGAAGATGCCCCACTCTGAGGCTAAGGACTGCAGGAGAGCTCCACCAGGCGCATTTCTCAGCCCCGAGCCTCCCCTGCCTCTGCTGCCTAGGAAGGGCCCTGAGACTACCAGCTTCTGCCTCCTGTGGTGTGGCGAAGCTCAGCTTCTCTTTCACCACAACTTCAAGGGTACCCTGACCTATGGTTTTGACAATCCTTGAATACGGGAGCTGTCTGAATGGATGAAAACCCACTGTGGTGTCCCCAGTGCCACACCCTCTTTGTAGATAGTCTCTTTCATCCCATAAGGAAGGATGAAAAAAAAATTGACCTCTTCTTTGCAGCAGGGTGAGGCCTAGGAGTCTACACATAGGCAGCTCACCTTGCTGAAGATCCCCTGTGACTGGGGCTAGAGCTGGTGGGTGGAATGGGGCCATTTTCTTCTTTTCCTTTTTTTTTTTTTTTTTTTTTTTTTTTTTTTTTTTGTTTTTTTTTTTTTTTTTTTTTTTTTTTTGGTTTGTTGAGAGTTTTTTCTCTGTAGCTTTGGAGCCTGCCCTGGAACTAGCTCTTGTAGACTAGGCTAGCGTCAAACTAACAAAGATCTGCCTGCCTTTGCCTCCCGAGTGCTGTGATTAAAGGCATGTGCCCTCACTGCCCAGCTCTTGGGGCTGTCTTCATGTGTCTTTCTCTACAGGGTGGTCCCTGCGGGGTTCTGGCGGCTGTTCAAGGCTGTGTGCTGCAGAAACTCCTGTTTGAAGGAGACAGCAGAACCAACTGTAATCTGTAAGTCGGTGTTCATCTTCCCTTCCCAAAGCTTCTTTTGAGTGTCCAGAATAAATAAGCAAGGAAGCGTGGGTGTTCCCTGATCGTTCCCATTCCCTGGAGGTCAAGACAGGTGAACACAGCTAGTTGCAGGGCTCCTGCTGATCTGGTTAAATGGACATGGTACTTTCACTTCTAGGAGCAGGCAAGGTTGGTGAGTTGTGTTTTGCTCCACAGGGCAAGTAACTGAAAATGGCTTGGCAACTTTACTGCCTCTTCAGACCCCTTCCTCAACCATAAGCATCTGCTGACCTCTGACTAGGTCCAAGGCTCCCCCGCCCCCGCTTATCTCTTCTCTGTCAACAGCCAGAACTGCACATTCCAGCTAACTCCACTGTGCATGACTTTCTCCCCGTTGTGGCTGTGTATTTTCCATTTCACACACAAGGTATTTGCACCTAGGCATCCCTGCTCATTCATCTTCATGTCCTCAACACGTCTAGAACACCTCTGTGCAGTGAGGGAAGCCAGTGCTTTCTCTCCCTCCTCCCACCAGCGCTGCCAACCAAGAGGTTTGAGATTTGCTATTGATTTCTCATGAGGTCAGCACTGTCTCTGCTGTCCAGAAGCACTTGACACTCCTGATGTGACAATATCTGCTGAGTTTGGGACCCTTGCCACCCTCAGCAGGACCCTTGCTATTTTCCTTCTTAGCTTGGACCAGAAATCATAGGGTTGTGGTAATGGTGCCCTTCCCCTCATTGCTGCTATAGTTGAACAGGAAAGCCAGACAAATGGACAGGTGATGATAGGCCATGCATGTTGTCAGGGGTGGGAGAGCAGCCTCCCTGCAGGTCCGTTTGGATCTTACTGATGTCTCCCGAAGGAAGGAAGCTCCTTACTCTCTCTCCTTCACACATGCATATCATACTTTAGTTCCTTTACATTTTCCTGCTACTCAGCATGACCCTCCGATTCTTTCCCTGTGTACCCAAGCAGTTTGTCTGCTGGCCCTTCTCTCCACCCTTCAAGGATGGCCTTCCTTGACCTCTGGGGGGCTGGTAAACCCATGCCTTGCTTCTAGTTACACCACCACTCACTGTATACTTGTTCTCTGGTGCGGTTAGGTGTCCATGTCTGCCTCCTCCTGAAGAAGACAAGCCCCATGAGAACAGGGACTTACTTCCCTGAGCTGCCTGGTCCACAGGCTGGTTCCTGGAATCCAGCACAGTCCCTGGACCACAGGGCAAGCCCTTAGGATTTTTGTTGAATGAGTGGATGAACAGTGAATGAGTTGTTCAGACAAACAGGGAGGAGAGGCAGAATGGTATTTCAGTAAAGAGAACAAGATGTGGAAAGACCCTAGGGCAGGGAGAAGAACAGAGGTTGCCTGAGGTGGCCAGGGATGGGGTAGGGCCAGGCAACCAGACAGGCCTATGAGCTCTTAGAAGTTTAGGCAACTTTGAGTAAGTCTTGGCTTTGGCCTGTGTGAGTGCTGTCTTTTGATGCCTGTCAGCCCAAAGTCCTTCAGAGTCTTTCTAGATCCCTTGCTTTGGACTTCTGGGGAGTCATATACAGATGGTTTCCCAGTAGTCGGGATGCTGTGTCCTGGAAGTGGGATGCTGCCCAGGATGGAAGCTGTATGGAAGTTGTAGTTTCTCACAGCCCACAGAGGATGGGAGTCAGAGCTGTGAAGGCTGGAGGCCTCTCAGGTTGGAGCCTAAGGTGCTGCTGAGTCTAGAGAAAACCCTACCAAGTGGTAGAAGGTGAGGGTCTCCCTCACTGGCCTCACTTGTTTAGCGCCTGTCAAGCACTGCCTAGACCTGTAGCAAGACTCTAACTGCTCTTAATAACAAAACCCAGAGCCGGATATGAGGATAAATGAATAATAATAATAATAATAATAATAATGCTGAAAGATCAGAGAAGTCTATGAAATCCTCAGACCGAATGAGGTATCCTGTCTCTACAAATCCTCAAACTGAATGCCATCTTTATGAAACTGCAGACTGAATCCTGGGTTCCTGTCTCCTCCCCCTTATATTTCTCTCTGCCCAGCCATATCACTTCCTGTCTCCACCTCCCTAGTGCTGGGATTAAAGGTGTGAGCCACTACTGCTTGGCTCTGTTTCTCTTTTAGATTTGATTCAATTTTGTGTACTCCAGCTGGCCTTGAACTCACAGAGATCCGTCTGCTTCTGCTTTCCAAGTGCTAGGATTGAAGTTTTGTGCCACCATTGTCTGGCCTCTATGGCTAATTAGTGTGGCTAGCTTCTCACTCTGATCTTCAGGCAACCTTCCTTCCTTCCTTCCTTCCTTCCTTCCTTCCTTCCTTCCTTCCTTCCTTCCTTCCTTCCTTCCTTTCTCATAGAAAATTTTTCAAAAATGTTCATCAACATCCCTAGAAACTGCATGTCAAAAATGCCATTTCAGAAGGCAGTATTGACAAATACTTTTAAGCCCCAGCATGTATTACCAGAATGTCCAATAAAAGGAATTTTAGCATATTGTGAGTGAAAGCCAAAACTACTATAGGTTCACTGGAAAGTGCATTTGGTATATTTCTAGTAAAGCTCAATGTTCAAACTTTACTTATTAAAGTACTAACAAAATATCACCACATAGGCCTAATCTGTGCACTGCTGCGTGGGTGGCTTTCCAGGGCTCTGCTGGGGAGAGTAGAAGGAAGGAGTGTGGCCTTCACTTAGAGCTCCTGAGTGCTGGGACCTGGGAAAGAAAGTGGGCTCACCTGGACAAAAACCCAGAGACCCCACCTGCAGTATCTGTATGTGGGCCCTGGGTCATGAGGGGCACACCTGGAGGGAGGAGGGAAGTGGCTGTTGGGACTGTGCTCTATGTGGGAGCTGTAGTGTTGGGGGCTTGTGTTGTTTGGGGGATTGTGTAGGGGAAGGTTGTGTTGTATGTGGGACTGTGCTATGTGTTTGAATTACTGCGTGTGAGTTATATTTTGTGAGGAAAGCTGTGTTGTGTGTGTGTGATAGTTGTATTATGTATGGGTTGTCTTTCATTGAGGGGGTTGTGCTGTGTGGAGATCATATTTGTATGGGAGTTATGTAATGTAGAAAAGTTGCATCGTATGTGGAATTGTATGAGTACGAATTTTGTTTTATGGGATAATTGTGCTCGATTTGGGAGATGTGTTATACGTGAGATTGCATTGGTTGTTAGGTTTATCTTGTGTATGAGTTATGTTACATGAAGTTTGTAGTACATGAATTATATTGAGTTGTGCTTTGAGGCTGTCTTGTGGGTTGTTTGAAGGTTGTATTATATGTGGATTATATGGTATGAAGATTAGGTTGTATGACTGCTGTGTTATATGTGGAAATGTGTTGGAGGGTATTTGGGTATGTTATTTGAATGGTTCATGTTTGTAGGAGGTTTGTGGGTTTGTTTGTGGGTTGTGTTACGTCAGTGGGTTATATTCTGTGTTGGGTTGGGTGACGTTGTATTTGTGGGTTCTGTGAGGGTTGTGTTGTGTGGGTAGGTTTTGTTGTGTGTAGTTTGTACTGTGTGAGTGTATGCTATTGTGTCTGTGGGGTCTGTCTTTGGAAGATGATGAAGCTGATTTTCTTTGGGCCTGGTAGCTCTGGATGCTGTTCATTATCCCTCTGCATCCCATATCCCATCCCTGTGGTCCTCAGGCTAAGAGCACACAGCATTCCTTCCTACTCAGTGAGAGGGAAGCAGGAAAGCTTGGTTCAGCTCTCTGAAGTCCAAGGAAACTTACAGAGAAATGGTGGAGGGGTGATCTGTGAAAGTCCCTAAGGCCCTCACAGCCGACCAGCACGGACTCTTGATTGACAGAGGGCTCTAGGTAAGGGCTCTGATGCACTCCCCAGTCTCTTACCAGGGGTGTGGTACCACTGCCTTAGGGAGACAGCTAGGGATGGGGAGGAGAACCACTGGGACCACAGGGATTAGTCTAATACTGATAGAAGGACAGAGCAGGGGACTCTTGTGGGCCAGGAGGAGGTGGAGGAGTGCCATTTGTGGTTTGTGCCTCTGCCTTGCTAGTGTTCTGCAGGTTGAAGGCTATGCTTGTTCAGTGGGTGTGTGTGTCCCAAGGGAGGAAGGAGGCAGAGTGCTGGGGGTGGGGTGACAGAGAGCAAAGGACTTGGGTTACCGTGGAGGAGGGCTCACATCTCTGAGTTAGTAAACACCCTTAAGTTGCACTCCTTGAGAAAAAAAAAAAAAAAAACCACCACCAACAACAAAAACCTTCCATGTAAGTGAATAGGCCCATTGAACTCAGCCCATCACGGTACAGATGGGGGAACTGAGGCCCATAGATGGAGAGCTGATAGCTCAGAGTCAAAGTTGGCACCATTGCTGAGCCAAGACTAGCCTGTGACATCTTGCCTGTCACAGCATGCTCCTGCACACTAGAAGCAGTGGGGACCAGAGATGGCAGGAAGAGATGAGGTTGTTGGAGTTGGAAATGGCTGATGGTTGCTCCGGTACTCTTTAGTTCTCTATGCACAAAGGGCTTCTCAGCAGAGCATCCTGGGCCCCAGTTTAGTAAAACTAGTGCAGAAGACCACAGAGAACTGCTCTGCAGTCAGTCTGTGTGTGTGTGTTGGGGGGGGGGGTTACAATTATGTCTGTCTTGGATCTCCAGCTTGAGTGACTTAGTGCCTGGTACTGGTGGACAGAGTCATCCATGTTCCTGCCTGGGCTGTGTATGCTCGGTGGCTTTGAGGCCGGAGTGCTCCCTCTTCACGCTGAAATTCCGTGTTTTTAGAAACTGCCCAGCTTCATAAGAGCAGGGTTGGGGTGGGGAGGACAGCTGCTCTTTTGACCCTGGGACTGTGGTACTTCTCAGGGAGCTCTGCCAGCCCGAAGATCTCCCATATGTGCGGCTCCTGGGTTGGGTTCTTGGACACTGGGTCTAGAGGATCCTGAGAAAGGATCAAGGCTCCAGGAGAGTGTAGCCGAGGGTGGGTGGCCCCTTCAGGGAAGCCAGGCAGAAACAAATGGAGCTTGGCGAGGCCATGTGTTTTCTGTGTGGCTGTCTGGCCTCATTACGGCTCAGTCCATCAGGCTGGCAACTACTTCGCCTCAGTTCGCCCGGCAAAGCCAGGCAGCAGGATGTGGTGTTTTTCCACTGGACAGGAGCTATGCAGCTTGGCTCATCCCCTGCACAGGCCCCAGGAGAGCCCTGGGGCTGGAAAGGCCTTTAGAGGCTGGCAGGAATGCAGAGAGAGGATCTGGGATCCTGCCCTCTTACCATACTTCCTTTCTGAAGTCCACAGCAAGAGCACTTGAAGTTCACAGCAGGAACACTTGCCTTGGCTCTCCAGATACAAGGTCCCTGTGGCCCCCAGCCAGCCAGCCCTCTGCCCTTCCTCAGAGGGGCAGAAATGAAGGAACTGTGGCCTGGACACACTCTCCTGCTTTATCTAGAACTTTCTATAGGCTTAGCTCATGTAGGTGCATCTTTGGGGACAGGTGCAGTTGTCTCAAGATAATTAGGATAGAAGCACCTGTTTTCTCTGAGACACTTGGGCGAACACAGGTTTCTCACCCAGCCCTTTATGGGCACTTCAGCCTGCACTTCTGGAGGAATTGGGCTCTTGAAGAAACTTCTATTGTAAGAGCCTGGCTGGGGGCCAGATTTCTGGTGGGAATGTGATAAGTTTGTCTAGGTAATGTAGGGCCTTCTCTGTCACCAAGGGATCGCCAGTGAAGCTATCACCCAGTTACTGGTGAGGGTCAAGTCCTGGCTATGTAGGCAGCTACCAGTGACCCATCCACCTGTCACCTTTGGGATAAGTGTGTGTGTGTGTGTGTGTGTGTGTGTGTGTGTGTGTGTGTGTGTGTGTGAATGTGTGAATGACATAGAGAGCCCCAACAACTCTGGGGTAACCAAAATGACAGAACAGCAAGACTGAAGAGGGCATGGGACTCCCTGCTGCCTGGGGACCAGATACTGACCACAGACCTCTTGACTGCTGGTCACTGCACTTTCTATGATCTACTGTGTTATTTAGAAAATGATCTCTCGAGGTCTCAGGAAGCCACGCCTTCAGAAAGATGGAGAAGGCCAGGCTGAGGCGGGAGCTGCAGAAGCTGCTGGGGAAGCTGACAGGGAGAGTGAAGGCTCTAGAAACAGGCCCGCTCAGAGAGGCAGCAGGCAGAGCCAGTGGGAACAGGAGATCCTGGCCCAGGGGAATGCTGCCTTGATCGTGTCACAGGTTGCTTGACAGATGGGCTGCAAGGCAGGAGGCAGGTCATAAAACCGTGCTTAACTCGACTCTCCCTTGTTCCCCTTCCCTGTGACTTGGATACATCACTTCATCCCCAAGACTGGGTTCTTCACCTTGAAGAGGATATAGGGCAGAGCTCCTGGGCTGTTTGTTTCGGTCTCATGAAATGATGCATAGAGAGTCCTTATCATCAGGGCCAGGCTCTTGCTAGGACTCCTGTACTAACTTTTAAAATCGTGAATGACGGGCTGCAGAGATGGCTCAGTGGTTAAGTGGACTTGCTGCTCTTCCAGAGGACCGGTGTTCAATCCTCAATACCCACATGGCAGCTTACAACTCCAGTTCCAGGGGATCTGACACTCTCTCATAGACATAAACGCAGAGAAAACACCAATTCACATGAAAAAAAAATCTTGAATGTCATTGTACTGAAAAGTTTCTGAGGAAGGATTGTGTGCTTCTGCCATCTCCTTCAAGTGTGATACTCCGAGGGGGTCCGTGGCTCCTAGACTGTAGGTTAGGTTCCCCAGCCATTGGTGTCCCAGGCAGTGTGCTTCTGTTCAGACAGACTTTTATACATTTTCTACCAGGCAAGGGTTTTTAATCTGGATGGAGGTGGGGTCACTGTGAGGAGAGGTCCCACGTTGAACATGTTGGTGACGGTGTTCTGTGAGGCTGCAGGTGATCTAGGAGCGGTAGGAGGGGAGCAGCCGTAACGGTTTGGCGGAGCACAGGCGAGAACAAGGGAGACGTGAGATGCAGGCACGCAGCGAGACAGCAGGGCTGTCATTTGGGGAGCCGTGAAGCCTGTTTGTTGTTTCTGAATCCAAAGAATTACCATCCAGTCCTCTCGCCTGTTGTTTGCCCATCTCTCTACCATCCAGGCAGCTCTGTCCCTGGCATGGCCTCTCCTGAAATCCAGAGAACTGTTTATTCAATGTTATTTTCCTAGCAAGTGCTGACCCGGGTTGGTGCTCCCAACAGCGTAGGCCATCCGGTTTGGCGATGATATGGTCCCCATTTCCTGTGAGAAATATGACAGGCTTCCTGAGTCAGGCGGTCCCTGGCTTATTTTCTCCCAGCCTGAGCCTCATTGCTCGTCCTGCTGCCCCCGCAGCCTTGCCAGTGCAGGAGCGCCATGTCAGCAGGGGTCAGGTGAACCCCCTGTCTGTGGATGTGGCCCATGTGGTGACACTGGTGGCGATGGAACCAGTGACTGAAAACTCCTCATGCATCAGGGACGAGGCTCATAGGCACTGTCTTGTTTAAGGCTCCCAATGCCGAGGGGAGCTCACTGTCACCGCCAGTTTCTATATGGGGAAACAGAGGCACCACTGTGTTTTGTCACCTTTTGTTTTTAAGTAACTAGATTTTCATTTTAAATAACAGCCTGCCTGTAGATGCATGGCTCTTTGTCCCACCATGGTAGCTGCTTCCTGGTCTCCTGGTTTCTCTCCTCTTGCCCTGGCAGGATGGGTAGGTTCCAGCACTGTCTTGCTCAGACATCTCAGTGTGGAGGTCAGGCATTTTTTTTTTTTTTTTGGTGAGTGAAAACCCGGAATTCTCCTGTGTACATTTCTTTGCCTTGCCCCCAGCAGGTCTTCCTCGTGTTGGTTAAGAAGAGATTCAAGCCAGCTTCTTCAAGAATGTAGGGAGCACCGCAGAGCAGAGAGGAAAGCCAGGAGCTTAGCACAGAGGAGCCCTGGAAATGTCAAGTGGAAAGAAATGGCTATATTTGGCTGCTGCCTTCCTCCCTCTTACTCTTGCCGTGTCCCAGGAACCTCTTAGTCACCATTTTTATTGCAGGATGGCTCAGCGGCGTTAGATGTGGTGACTGAACTTCCTAAAACTGCCCTGTGTCTGCATGTTGCCGCCTCTCTCTCTCTGACCTTCCTCTCCTGCGCCTTCCCCAGGTCCCGGAGGTCCAGCCTAGCAGCCTTTCTCCTTCCCACTTTGTCCTATGCTTTCCATGAATCTCACAGCTTCTCAAGTGGTCTGAGGAGTGGCAGCCCCATCCCAGCACAGCCACTGCTGCCAGTCACACACCTGTTTCAGCACCCCTACAGCCATCCCTGAGTCTGACTTCCTCACCCAGAACTTGTATTTACATAGTCAGCTAGTTAGGGTCCTGGCTCCTGCTCACTGTAGTCTCATCTGCCCCTAGCTATTGGGACTGGCCACGGCCAGGGCAGGAGAGCGCCTCACTTCTGCCCATTGTGGCAGCAGTGCCAGCGTATTCTTGGCCTTGTCAGAATGAGAAGTCCTCTTACAGTTCACGTCCAGGTCTCGCCAAGCCTCTGAGGTCCTTTTTGCTCCTGCAGTTAATATTCCTGTCCCTAACCTCAAGGCTGTCCCTCAAAACTCCTCCTATGGTCTTCATCTGTAGATCGTACAGACCCTGAAGCTTAGCTAAGGGTCCCTGGACTGCAAGGAAAGAGGAGGCATGTGCAAAGGGGCCACCTAAATATGTCTGATAGGGCACAGATACGTCTGTTCTGCCCTGTGTCTTCATGAACCTAAACATGCTCCCTTTCTCATCAGCCGGCTGCAGCCCTCGGACGCCCAGAGGACCCATTGCCTTGCCCTGGCCATTGCAGACATCTTGTGGCGTGCCGGAGGGAGAGAGCAAGCCGTGGTTGCGCTGTAAGTGCTTCTGGGGGTCACGTTGCATTTAATGCCCAGCTGATAGCTGAGGATGTCCTGGTCTTGGACAGAGAATCTGTATGACTCATGAAGGAGGATATGCTCCTACCTGCTCACCACCCAGGACTTGGGAAGTACAGGAGAAAGCCTGTACCCAGGCCCTCAGTTCCTCAGTGTTTCCCTGATCCTGAGGCCACAGGCTGAATCTGTGCCACCATCCAGGACCCCAAAGCGTACGTCCCCCTGTGTCACTTGGACCTCATTCCAGTGAGGATGAAACGGAGAGGTGAATGGCAGAGGCTGCCACTCAGATCCAGGATGCTGTTACCTTGACGACACCTCCATCCTGCCCTGCAGCCCCTCAGGGTAGAAACATCGCTTTGCTCCAGTTCTGTGACTAAGCTGTGATAAAGGGGGTGGTTTGGGGAACCACTTTGGTTCCTTTAGCATAGTGCTTAAGAAAGGGGGCTCTCTACAGCCGACTCTGAAAGCTGTGGCTTGCTGGATGTGTAATCTTGGGAACTGGCCTCAGCTCTCCATTCCTCATTTGTTGACTTGATTAGAAAATGGGGTGACAATGATAACTTAATGGTTGTTCAGAGCTAAATGAGTATGTATAAATAAATGATGTGTATTAAATATAATAATGTTATCAGTATGAATCTTTTATTAATGTAAATAAATGGGGGATAATAAATGTGATGTGCTTAGGGCAATACCTGGGCATCACGTGAGTTGTGCTTAGGGTGGTCGCCTACTGCTACCCACTCTATGCCAGGCAATTGATTCACATAATATAGGCACGTAACCTATTTGGCAGCTCTAAGGGCAGATGGTCAAGAGCTTATAAAACCGACATCCAGAGAAGAAAGGTGGTGTGTCCCAGGCCACATAGAAGCTGGTGGCAAGTGGGTCCCACCTCAGATGCTACTCTTAATCAGGACTGCATTGGGCTACACACCCATTGTGGTTGCTGGAGGTTGTCTCAGTGGGGGTGGGGAGGAAGGCTTCTAAGGGGATGGCTGGAATCCTTGCCCTGCGTGAAGACAGTGGCAAGCCAGCAGTCCTTCCTCTGCAGACGGCTTTGCCAACTGTAAGGGAGAGTCAGGTCTCCTCCTGCCAGACGTAGACGTGGTTCTTCCAAGCTCACCCACCACTCTCTTTTTCCATGCCCTGGACTCAGGGGTGAGTTCATAGCAGGAAAAACGAGAAACCCTTGGCTCTGTTCTCCCTGGAGCTGCCACTCCTGTCCTCATTTATTTCACGACACGTGTGGGCTTACTGGCTGGAGGGTGTGCCCTTTCGTCTGGTCGAGGACTTACGCACCTTCTTTTCCTTTTTAGGCCTTCAGGAACGCCACACTTCAGTCCAACAGGGAAATACAAAGCAGATGGAGTCTTAGAAACAGTACGGCTTTCTGGAAAACTATCATGCCACCTTTGGCTTTGTTTGGGGACTAGCTCCTTTCATAGAAGTAAATCCTCCCCCAGCTGGGGCTGGCTGGCCATCCCTGCAGCCCAGGCCCCCAGAATCCTGCCCTTTGGGGATGGGGGATAGGTGGGTGGCTTTGGAGATTGACTCAGTGTCTCCTTGTCACCTCCACGTGCTCAGGCGTCGAGGTACCCTAGGTGTTCTCAGTGCCCCGTGTGCGGTGTCCCCCCCTGTGTCTCTGGTGTCTTTTCTAGGATTCTCGTGGATGGGGAGAGGCATCGGAGTGTAGGAGGTGGGGGGGAATTGATGGCGTGGATTCTCGTGGATGGGGAGAGGCATCGGAGTGTAGGAGGTGGGGGGGAATTGATGGCGCAGAGCAGCAGCCGTGGGCCCAGCCTCAGGGAAGGGCTACGGAAGCAGCAGGAAAGGCATCTTGTATTATTGAAAATGCAGACCCAGTGAAGATACTCAAAACTTGATACCCTTCACCGGCTATTTTTATTTTAGCTGATTTGTTTCCTATGATCTAGCCATGTGCGCATGTGACTCGTGAACCCTTGCTTGATTGGGTGTTTTCTGGACATGTGTTTTTTGCTGACCTGCTTGAGAACAGCCTGTTAGGTTTTGACCTGGACTGGTGTGGTGACACGGAGAAGTGGTTCTTCCCTGCCCCTCCTCTTCTTTGTCCCACCCTCTAAAAACTGGGAGCTGGATGTTTGTGAACCATGACCGAGGTGTTAGGGGGACCCTACAGGAGTTCACCCACTCACAAGACTCCATGCACTTATTCATTTTTTAGTAGTAAAGTCAGGGCTATAGGCATTCGGCACAGTAGGGGGACATGTAGCTCATTGTGTGTGTGTTTCTTCACAGCTCACACTGTATAGTCTGACCTGCACTGAGGACCTGGTGACTTTTCTCCAGCAGAGCATACATCAGGTATGAGCAGTGGTTTCCTTGGTGGCATGAGCATTGCTAAACTTCTGAATTTCCTTATGGAAGAGGGTGGTAGGTGGACTAGTTAGTGCTCTGGTCACCTCCACCCTGGAGCTGGCAAAGAAACTGAGCAGAATGGGCTGAGGGAGGCTTCAGAAGTATGGGTGTGGGTAGGAGGCACAATTTCCATGACAGTCTTGCAGGCTGGTAGTGATCACAGCCCCAGGGAGCTGTCACAACTGGGCTGCAGCTGGGATTAGAAGCTGAGGCTTGGCTTTTAGGGCTTTCCCTCTGCTGAATAAGCAGCCACCCTGGAAGGCTGTACTCTGAGTCAGCAGAGAGGGTTCTAGGACAAGCTGGGAGGTGACAAGAAAGATGCTTCCTTTGTGGAACTGGAGGGGACCCTGCTTAGTACAGGACCTCACCAGTGTCCTAGGGAGGCAGGCTGAACCGTGCGGGGCCTGCCCTTCACTGCTGGCTCATGGCCTATGGCTAGGTTGGACGGGAAACATAGGGGTCTTCTAATCCCAGTGGGATAAAGCCTTATGGAGTGTGTGGAGGAAGCATCGTACATTCCAGGGGCAAAGGACTTGGCTTATGGAGATAGTCAGCCTGGCTTTGGATCATGCTTTGGACCCTGAGTGGCTCTGAGACTTGGGTACAATCCTGAAGCTCTCTGTACCTCAGTTTCTTCATCTGTCATGCCTGAATAGCATTCATGGCTGCCTCACAAATTGTTCAGGAGCTCTAGCTTCATGGTATGGGTGTGCGAAGATGGAAGTCATTTCTGGATTCTGGATTTACGAGGGTCAGTAAAGGCTCAAGGGTGGGAGGCGCTGGGGGTGGAGTTGAGTGGTAAGCCTAGGGAGGGACAATGGTTGGACCATTAGATGCCCTTTCTCAGTGCTTTTCCCTGAAGATCCTGAGGGTCTTGGCACAGCCCCAGCGGCATCCTGATCCTGGCAGCACCAGATTTCCCTAGGAAGGAAACAGAGTCCCACTCTCAGAATAACTGAAGACAGGCGTGGGCAAGGGGCACTGGCCCCGCTGAAGCCTTTTAGTCCTAGAGCTGTCCCTTCCTATTTTGGGGGCAGCCCAGGAGGGCCTCGGGCCTGTACAGCAGTCTTCCAGCTGGGTCTAGGCATAGGGGTTGGCATATAGGAAGGTCCTAAACTAGTAGCCTGGCACTTGCCTCTTCCCTGGTTCATTCTCTCTCTCTCTCTCTCTCTCTCTCTCTCTCTCTCTCTCTCTCTCTCTCTCTCTCTCTCTCTCTCTCTCTCTCTCTCTCTTATTGAAATAACCCTGTAGGGTGTCTGTCAGTGACACAGTTCCCTACCCTTGCTGAGAGCAATGAGAGTGCTTGAAACAAGGGCTAGGAGTCTTTCTGGGCTTACTCCTGGCAACATGTGGCCGTGGCCTGGGGAAAGCCCTGTTTCCTCATCTAGAGATGGAAGTTGGAGCACCTGAGTAGCTTCCAGATCGACGAAGCCCCTTGACCACCTGTGGGGAAATGCTTTCCACACAAAGGGCAGGCACTCTGAGTGGGTGAGCAGAACCGGGGCCGCCTGTTGAGTGCAAGTGGGCCCAGGGGATGCTGTGGAAGCGTGTTCCCTTTGGCAGATGGAGCACGGAGCTGTGCTGGCAGGGAAGGAAAGTGATGGAGGACCAAGGAGGGACCGTAATGCCGTCGATGAAAGGCTTTCTGGCCAGGTCACTGTCTCTGTGATGGTGACCCTCAGCCCCAGGGCCTCGGTAGCTTTGCCTGCAAGTGGGATCTCATGCCTCAGCCTGTGCCCTAGGGTTTCCATGAAGCCTGTGCATGACAGAGAGAGGGGCCCGCTGTCAGGTGAGGGCCCCCTCAGTTCCACCTTGAGACTCTAGGCATGCCTCCCTGCTACCCATGGTTCCTTGGGGCAGCCGGTCCCCATTCCTCTGGAAACAGTGCTTTCCCCACAGCCTAATTTGTATTTTTGCTGGAAGCCGTTGAGCTGCCTCAGCACTCAGTACACCAAATCCATTTTTCATGGGCTGTGCTGAAGAAAGGCTCATCGTGCCAGGCCTGGAAAAGCATGCCACTACTGCCCAAAACAAACAGCCTCCATGTTGTTTCGTTGCTGTTCACCACTAGAGAGGTGTCTGGTGGCCCCGAGCCAGCGTGGGAGGCTCTGTCCAGCTGCCCGTTGGAATACCTTGGTGGGTTCATGTCTCTCCAGGGCTAGGGCTATGCTGGGAGAATGGTCCCGTCTCCCCAAGTGGCACCAGGCATTGTTCCCACCCTTAGCCACGGTTTCCGGCCCAGGTTGCTTTTCTTGCCATCCTGATGCCCCGAGGTCTCCCATGTCTTGGCAGCTTGAATTTGATGAGATAATTTTAATAAATATTTTTAAAAACAAGCAGGAATATTGGTGCCATTCAGTTGTGTTCTGGGAGGGCCAAGAGGCCAAAGTGGGTTGGGTTTTTTACCCTCTGGGGGCCCAAAGGAAGCTCTCTCCGAGGTGTCCTCATGGGACCATGCCACACTGTGCACTAACAGCTTCTCACTGTGTACTGAGTTCAGCTTCAGTGGCTCACATGGTCACAGCTATACCACAGCCCTGCAGGGTGATAAACCCCATAGGCTTGGGCGGGGAGATAGATCCTAAAGCAGAGGCTTCCCCTAGGCAAAGTGTAAGGCCATAGCAGAAGGGGAGACAGGTTATCTTGGTGACTCCCCTAAGGCACTGGAAGGTTGTATCAAAACTGCACACAGGATTCATCCTCCAGGTCCTGCCGAGCCTGGGTCACCTGAGTGGGGACCGCAGCATTGCTCTGCAGCTGTTGCATCCACATGTGTTGTCTTTGAGAGTGTGCACCGTAGATAACCCAGGGAATCTGCAAGGCAGGGTCTTAGTCATCTTTGTTTTTCATTGTAGGAGCCACAGCACCAAGTGCCTGGTTTGAGGTCACAGAATCTAGATGAGGTTGAATGATATTTATTCACGTTGCTTGTTACCAAAGAGAGTGGGGCATGTTTATAAAATGGGTGTTTCCAGGGCTCTCTGTCCCCTCTGGTCTGCCTCTGGGGCGTTGCTCTCTCTTGCCTTGCCCGAAGCAGTGGTCCTTCTCTTCTCACTGCCTCTTGCACTTCCGTTGGATGTCACACCTCCAGAAAGCCCTCTCTGGACCTCTCCTCCACAGCCACCTTCGGGTGAGGCCTTCCTGTGTGTTTTCAGAGGAGCTCGCAGTCCTGCTCTGGATGAGACATTCTCCACGCTTCCCGAGTTTTGTTTTTTCTTTCTGAGTCACGGTCACCGAGTAGATACATGGCCACCTGCTTCTTAGGAAGGCACTTGGCAGAGTCCAGCCTTGGCATTGTCTATCTTTGAGACAGGTTTGTACAGCCCAGGATGGCCTCGCAGTCCCTTATAGCCCACAGTGGACCTGAGTTTGCAATCCTCTCACCCTGCCAGTGCTGAGGTCACAGGTGAGCATCACTCTGCCGCGAGGAAACGTGCTCTTGGTACAGGAGCTCCACTCAACATTAGCTTTTTACGATCAGCTAACTGGCTATTTGATCTCTAGGGCGAAAACAAAGACTGTACCTCGAAGGAAAGATAATTTTATTAGAAACTTGAGCTGTCATAGTTTCCGAACTGAAATACCATATTTGATTCTGAGTTTCTTGGTGGCCAAGGGAAAGACAAAAATGTTCTCAGTGACATCATTTTTATTTAAATAGCCATTTCTCCTTTTAGCTTTAAGTCCAAAAATTATTGTTGACATACAAGGAGTACTATTATAACTGCATCTGCAAACACAGCCTATCATGCCCAGAGTGGGATGAGTCAAGTTTCATACTTTTTTGGGGCTGGGAGCTTTGGATTCTCCATCTCAGTTGAACATTGTCTTAGTTAGGTATCTATTGCTCTGATAAAATGCCATGACTAATACGATCTGTGGAGGAAAAGGGTTATTTCAGTTTACAGTGCTCAGGTCATACTCTGTCCCTGAGGGACATCAGGGCAGGAACTGAAGACGGGAACCTGGAGCAGGAACTGAAGCAGAGGCCAAGGAGGGTTGCTCCTTACTGGCTTGCTCCCCATGGTTTGCTCATCCTGATTTTTTATTTTATCTTTAAGCATTTTAAAGTTTTACTTTTATCCCTCTTATTGAAAATCTTTTTTTTTTCTCACATAGCATCCTGACTATAGGTTCCCCTCCCTCTAATCCTCCTTGTTCTTCCCCTTTGCTTCTCATCTGGATCTACTTCTTTTCCTTCCCTCATTAGAAAAGAACAGGCTTCTAAGAAACAGTAAAATATATTATTAATCATCAGTCAATAAAATGCCCTGCAGACTTGCTACATATAGGCAACCTGGTGGAGGCATTTTTCCAATCGGACATTTTTTTTTCCCAGATGATTCTAGCTTGTGTCAAATGACCAAAAAACAAAGCACTAATAACAATGAACAAAACTAATCAGCACCGTTCTGGTCCCTGGGCAGGAGGGCAGGTGGGTAGTGCAGAGCTGGAAGTGTATCATAGCACTCTGGGTGCCAGGCAAGCCTTGCTCTAAATGCTTTACAACTTGCTGTAAGCAAAGACCTCTACTTTACCTATAGTTTACAGTGGAGAAAAGTGGGTAGGGACCCGGAAGTTCAGAAACACTCCCACAGCCATGTGGTTGGCTCAGAGTGGCAGAGTCCAGGGGGAGGAGCCTGAGATGCAAAATAGACTAGATGCAGCATCAGCAACATTTTTAGTATCAGACAAATAAACTCAAGATAATAAGACAATCAAATCTGTGTATTTAAAAACCCCTTTAAATAGTAACTTTGTAACAAAGGTGGGGACTTCCTGGTTTCCAGGGGATTCCAGCCGTGTTCTGCATCCGCTGTCTATTTGCTGACGTCATAGCTCAGTTCTTCTGTGTAAGGAACTGTGTCAAGCAGAGCCCCCTTAGGCCTCCATTGTGTTGGGGACCTGGGCGGCCTCATTCTCTGGCAGAGGGCAATAACAGCTCCCTTCTGTCAGGACCAGAGGTGACAGTGGTCCCAGAATAGCTCCTGGGCTTCGGTGCTTCTGAGGTCGCATATGGGCTCCATGGTGGTGTTAATGTCGCCCAGGTCTGGGGATTCAGTTCCGTGCTCCTCTGTCCTTTAGAAGGCCCGGCTAAGAAAGTCTGTGTGAATGGGATATATTCTCTATGGCTACCCACCAACCTCTGTGACTAGGCTGGAAGCCATGAAGCCCAGATGAAGCCATGGCCCTGGCAGGCTTGAGGTGGCTATGTCATTTGATGGTGTCCTCTTTCCTCTTCCCTCAGTTCGAAGTGGGACCCTATGGTTGCATCCTGCTCACCTTGTCTGCCATGCTGTCCAGATCGCTGGAGCTGTGAGTATCCCCTTCATCCCAGTCGAGAGGCTGTCTGTCTGTCTGTCTTCTTCCCTGAACAGCAAGGAGGGAGAGCTTGGATTCTCTGGCTGCAGTGAAGAGGAGCAGTTACGATCTGTATCTGCATCTTACCTTCTCTGTGGCCTTCTCTGATGTGCCAGGGACAGCAGCGGCGGCAGGGGGACCCTCCCTCCCTCTGTGCCAGGGACAGCGGTGGGGGGGACTCCCTCCCTCAGAGAGCTTCCGTGCAGTACTGGCAAGCCTGAGTACTCAGTGAGATCCCCTGACACGGGGTAGATAATGGAGACAGAGACCTGAGCATTGCCATTAGGGAACCCAGCAGATTAATAGCACATGAATTTTCTGTGAGGTACCCTCGATTGATCCTTCATTCCTTCCAAGCAGAGGCAGGTCTGGGGTGTGGAGCTCTAGGAGAGGGAGTATGGTTAGGAGTACCTAGTGAGGGGAATTGGGGAAATAGCTCTTAGCAGGTCTGGGGGAAGGGTTGAGCCTGGGTTGCCCTGGCAGAAAGAGCATTTGTTCCCCTGTCAACTGGGCCGGTGGCCTGGTGCTGTCTCCCTGGGCCTCTGCTATGGGGGGCGGGGAGGCATGGGGCTTTGCAGCCTTGTGTGCTGGCCCTCCTGCTGATTGCTGCAGCTGACCTTATTAAACCAGAGTGTGCACAGCACTTTTTAATGGCATTTTATTTCTAATCCTGCCATAATAATATGATGCATTCTTGGTACGGGCTCACGTGCACGGAGACCGTAAGCCTTTCTGCCTTCTCTTCAGCTTGGCTTGTTAATCCCTGGATGGTGGGAGGGCTGCATGGGGAAGCTTTCAGCTTCACTGAGGGGAGCTATGCTCTTGGGGACCAAGCCTGGGAGTTCTCATTGCAACTTCCCCATCTGTGCAGGAGCCTCTGGCCCAGCTTCTGCACTCATTGAGGCAGCCTGAAGTGAGGGGGCACCCTGGCCATGTGCAAGCACCTGCCTATAGCCTATCCCTCCAGAAGAGATTTAGGGCCGTGCATCCAAGCAATATTCCCATTGAGCAGAGCAGAGAACTATTACTACCTCACTGATCCATCCAATCAGGGCAGCCCCCATCCAGGCTTTGTTACTTGTGGACATCCTTCAGAGTTGCAGTCCTAGCAACACATGCATGTACACACATGCATGTGCTTGAGCACAGACATACACGCACACATGCACACACAGATGGACACACAGACATAGACACTGACTCATAGACAGGCATGCACAGAGATCCGCACATATGTAACATGGACACAGAGGTGCATTCCACCTGACTCCAGGGCCTCTGGGCAGCTTTCTTGAGCCCTTAGGCAAGTGTCTTGAGGTTCCTAAGGCAGGATAGTCTACGCCAGGATTCTCTCCCTTCCCAGGGAGCTGAATAGGGACCTGCTGTGGGCTGGGTTTTGTCTCACCCCAGTGGTCTTTTTTCACCTTCCTTTAGAGGACGCAGGAGAGGATAGGCCCATGTGCAGTGAGGACAATGGCGGTCAGCATCTTCTGCAGCTTCAATGTGCCCAACCCTTTGCCTTGATGTCATGCTAGAACACATGGAGGAGTCTCTATCCTCCCCCCCTCCCCCCGACACACACTAGGCTGGGTGGGTCCTCTGTGGTCACTGTGGCTTTAGGAGGTGAATGGTTTGCCCAGACTACACAGCAAGGCAAGCTGGCAGGCAGCTACCAAGCAGATAGGCCCCACCCAGCTTTTTAGGTTTGCTGCATTCAGAGGCAAATTTGGGTGATAGACTTAGGGTCAGGTCTGATTGCTCGTCTGTGCTGGAGTTCCTTCCTCTAAGAACTGGAGCTTCCTGGGCCACTTATCCCTTGTGGTTTACGCTATCTTTCCTCCACAGGAAACCCCTGGATCACAGGTAGGGCAAGGTCAGGTCTGCTCATACGCTGTCACCTGCCCAAACCCTCTGGGAGCATGAAAGATGGGTTGTGTTCCTGCTGAGTGCTAGCCTCCACTGGTCCTTGTCCCCTCCTCCATCAGTCTTGTCTTGATGCCTAGGAGGTCGCCTCAGTCTGTCATGGTGTGCTCAATGCTCATCTTTGGCATGTACTTCCTGCCAAGCCTGAGCACCATGGGGCCTGAGATGGGCCCAGTGGAGGACCAGTCCCTGGCCTGGGGTGTCCATTGTGAAGTGAACTTGAGGTGACATCAACTATTTCTGATCTGATCAAGTACAATGAGGCATATAGACTGAGGGCACCATCAAGAACCAAGACAGATCTGCGTAGCCTGGGTGGTGTCTGCATGTACTCCCAGAAGGCTACTTGAGGTAGAGACATGCGGGCCGAGCTGATCTTACCTGTCCACCTGTGATCCAGGGGCTTTGTTTGGAGGAAAAGTGGGGCCACAGTGAGGGCAGGAGCAGCCCATGCTGTCTCAATGCTAACCAGATTCTGAGAGTGATGTTGCAGTGACCACAACCCTCAGCCCCCAGATTTGGGGGACAGCTCTGCTGACGAGTGTGCTCTGCTGAGTAGTGGCCCTAGGACTGGAAGAACCCACTTCCCATCTACTGCCATGAGGGTCAGCAATCCTCAAAGGTCTTCACAGACATCTGAGTGCAGAAACATCTGGACACAGAAGTGCAGATGTCACCCAGCTCAGGCACCAGGTGGCCCGTTGGTGAAACCGCAAATGAAAACCTTTGACAGCTTCATAGTAGATCAAGGGCAGTTGGCTCCACCCCTACTCAGCTGCCCACAGCCCTGACTGACCAGTGTGTCTTCAGTTCTTTATCATTAGCTGACTGGAGCTAGGACAGTGCCTTTTCAACTCTCATGGAAATTAAACGAAATCTAATTTATTCCTCAAAAATTCCATTTCAAAAAATCAAAATAAAAAGATGTGCACGTGCGCTTGTGCACGTGACACACACACACACAAAAGCTCCCCATATAAAGCAGATGTAGTCAGGTGAAGGTGGTAGGGAGGGCAAGTCCCCTCTGCCCCTCTTCAACATCTGGCATGACTCTTCCTTGAAGAGATCTCAGCTCTACTTAAAAACGCAGGAGCAGACGATGGCCGAGGGCCTTCCTGCTCTGGCTCAGAGTCAGCATGGAGGATCCTTTGATGCTGCTGTTTTTGGATGGTCTGTTACCACTTTGGGTTGTCGTTGGAAACAGAAGCCCAAAGAGTTCCTAATATCATTGCTGCTTAGCCATGAGAGTGCTGGACTGGGAAGGCCTCTGAAGTTTCTTCCAAACATTCTGTATGTGTGTGTGCTATGTGTGTGTGTCTTGGGTGTGTGTACATGAGTTGAGTGGTTGTGTGTGTATGCTGTGTGTGTTGGGTATGTGTAGTGCGTGTTGTGTTGAATGTGTGTGCTGTCTCTGTGTGGTATATATGTGTATGTGTGTGTTGGGTGTATGTGTTGTATGTGTGTGTTGAGTGTGTATGTGCTGCGGTGTGTTGGGGTGTGTGTGATGTGTGTGTATGTGAGGTGGATATTGTTGTTCTGAGATTGTGCAGGGGATGACACGATGACATGTGTGATGTGAATATGTGACAGAAGGCACACACTCTCCCCTTCCTGGCAGGGTTGCCCTCATATCACCACAGGTCATTCCTAAGTCAGAGCAGAACTTGGGTTGATACTGTGGGCACAAAAACCCAGCATAAGCAGCCCGGCTGTTCCTAGGTACAGGCCCGAGTGAAGGCCGAGCTTATGCAGGTTGTTCTCCCCTCCCCCCTATGCCAAACTGTTCACCTTCTTCCTTAAGATCCGAGGTTGCATACAGTAAAACACATGTCACATTTCATGCTCGCATGGCTTCTGTGCAGTGAGCCACGTGCCTAGAGATCTCCCCAGGGAGCTCTCGCAAGCTCCCAGGGGTGCTCAGAGCCCTGAAGTCAGGGACTCTCCAAGTCAGACCTGGGTGACCCAGGGCTGGAGGTGCAGAGAGGAGAGGGAGGGTACTGTGGGGAGCCCGGCCTGGCTCACAGTGGGGCAGGGCCCGTCAGTGGCAAGAGGTTGTACCAGCAGCCTGAAAAGATTTTTTTTTTGTCCAGTAGACCATCAGTGCTCATTACTGCAGCATCTTTGGCTGCTGAAGAGCAGTCTTGAAAGTTCAAAAACATAATGTTGGACAGCACAACCAGGCACTGAGGGCCAGGGCCTGGCCACCCTGCATCCCACCATGTGACTCTTCTCTTGAAACTCTTGAGATTAAAAACAACAGTGCCAGCAGGACAGTTTCTTTCCTTGAGAAAATAGCCCTGAAATGAAAGTCAGCCGTGAACGCTGGCTAGGAGGCAAGGTCAGCCCCAGCCACAGGAAGCAGAAACCAAAGCTTAACTCATTCGTGTAAAAGCCCGAGTACTGTCTTTGGGACTTGGGTGTCTCCTCTGCATCTTCACCCCTCCTATAGACCAGCCATGTTCCCAAGAACCATACATATTTCTGCGGTTTGCATCCTTCTGGGTGTCAGATCCCCCAGGCTTCACATTGTGAACAGAGTGTGTGGAACCTGGTGGGCCCCAGGGAGACAGTCACAACCCAGAGGTTCACCCCCACTGGTCGGGGAAGCTCTCATGGTGAAGTGGAATGCTTTGGCTTGGGTCAGGAAGTAGAGGCGTGGGGAGGATGGAAGAATAGGAGAGCCAGGGTCAGTTTGAGGATGGCCTCATAGGCTGCTCTCAGAAACAGAAAAAGGCAAGCACAAAGCTGGCCATTTGCAGTCCCTCCCCCACAGAGGAGCTGGGGGCCAGAGACATGTGCAGTTCAGCTAAGAGCTGAGAAGCTCTAGTTGGTAACCTACTGTTGTGTACTCAGTGCTTGGCAGGCAGTGTCCTCAGAGTTCCTAAGCTTTCTCAGGCCTGGATAATGAGAAGCAACAGCCACTAAGACCAGAGCCCCGACTCTTGGGTGCTCGTTTCTACAGACAACCATAGGCTCCATGTCACTGGAGAGATCTCCAGCCATCTCCTTTCTGGGGCTCCTCAGTGATGAGC